TCTATTACTGAATACCATACTCTGATTACCCCAGCAGTAATCCATTACTGTAGCTGTACTTTGATTACACCTGCTGCTGTTGCTCCAGCAGTAACGTCTGTCATCCGGCCTCAGTAGATTCTGTCCAATCAGAGGAGCTGAAGCTAACGTCACATGACCTCCTCATGTAGACACTGAGTCAGTGTTTAGGATTCAAGGATTCAAAGATTCAAGGATTCAAGGCTTCAAGGCCTTTACTGGTCACAGACACAGTCACACATGGTCCTCTGTCCTCTGATCATTAATGCTGTGTGTCTGATGATGTCATTCCCTCTGAGCTCATCCAGACCTTCAGCTCTCTGAAGAACCTTTCATCATCATCATCGGCTGATGTGACTTCTGGGAGATTTCTCATCACATCACTGATTCAGAATCTGTAATAACAACATCAGTGGATCAATAATCTGCTTATGGAGGAGCTGGACTATCGATACTGGGTCCAGACGGTTCATCAGACACAGTCACACCTTCAGACAGGTACAGTCACCAGGTGAGACACGGGAGGAACCTGGAGAACCCAGAGAGAACCCAGCAGGGAAGACATGGACAGAACCAGAACCAGACCAGGACCTTCCAGCTGTGAGGCCACAGTGAGAACCGCTGACCCACCGTCCATCCTTACTTATTATAAAATAAAAGTTTCAGATCAAATCAGATGGAGTGATCCCAAAGAGACACAATCAGCTGCAAAGAGACGAGAAGGAAAATGATCGACTTTAAAACAGAAATGTTGGATTTTTACACAGTTTAAGATATAATTTGGTTGAAAACCTCATTGACTGAACTGGTCTGAGCTCTAACTAACAAAAGTGATTGAAGCGCTGGAGAATACTGAGAGACGGTAACATGAACACAAACCGACCACCAAGAGACACAATAAACACAAAGAGACACAATAAACACAAAGAGACACAAACCGACCACAGCACAGCAATTAGTTCTGTTTATTAAACTTTGTGTTGG